GAGAGAGAATGGTCTTTTTATCTATTTATAGGTCATTTCGTTAAATTTTCAGTGTGAATGTATTATTTTATCTTTTATTTATTTTAGTGTAGCTAGTTATTTCTTTTAAAATGTGTATATATTAAATATGGATAAATTTAAAAAATTATTATATTTTAATGGAGAGTTAATATATTTTAAGGTTTTTCTTGGTCTGTGTGAAATATGCTGAAAGTACCTTATAAATAGGACCAGAGGAGTATTTTACTAATTTTAACAGTTTTAGTTAACCATATATTCAAGTATTTGGCTCTTGTATATAGAAAAGAAAATCTTTAGGTTTTGAATCATGACTAAAATAATATATATAATGATATTAAATATACAAGATATTTATGTATAATCTTGATAAAAAGGTAATATTTAAATAAAAAAGTATAATCATTAAGTAAATTAAACCTTCATGTATAAATTACAAAAAATCTAACAAAATAGAATTACAAAAAGACAAATTTAATAGAGTGTTATTTTCTCTTTATAGCTCAAAATATATTGTTTTAAGCTTTGTGAAGGAAAAAAAAATAATATTCAACATTTATTTTATTTGGACACCGAATCATTCTCTGTACCAATGGCCGTTCTTATTTTTACACCTAACAATTTTACGTACTAATCACTTGTTCAATGACATTTCAATTGTAAATTTCTATAAATCAATCTTTTAATTTAAGCAATATGCTGACTTAAAAGTGGTTGTTAGTTTTGTTAGGCGTACAAAATAATAATTTTGAAGTTCAAGTAATATCTTTGGCCAAAAAAAAAAGTTCAAGTAATATCTTTAATTGTAGACTTCGTGCAGTCCTTGTTCTTAATATATAATTGCATCTGAGTTGGGAACGACAAGAGTTAAGTCATTTTTATAATACTACCTTCGCTTCTCATTATAAAAGCTAGTTGACTTAATTTGAGGAGATTAAAAAAATAAGTTAAGTTAGTTATTTGTAATAAATAGGTATTGTCTTTCTTAAAATACTTTACTAATCAAGTATATTAGTTAGAACTACTATTGTTATAAAGATTACTTTGAAAAAAAAAATTTAAATATGAGAGACAAAATAGATCGAAGTGTTATATTTAAGACCAAAATAAAAATTAAACAAGATCTTATATTAATGATCGGAGGTAGTAGTACTTAAAAAATTTCTAATGGAAAAGTCAACATTTATTATAAAGTCTGAAGTGTCAGTAGCATTAATTATATATTACATTCTATCTTTAATATAAGAGTTACTTGACTAATTTGAGTAGATTACATAAATTAATTAAATTAGTTATTTGTAGTAAATAGTATTGTACTCTGTACAATACCCATGTTAATCATGTGTATTAGTTATAATTACTATTTGATGAAATTTTTACATGTGTAATGACTATAATGACTACTGTAGGAAGAATAAATATGAGAGACAAAATATATTTTAGTATTATATTTATAGTCAAATTAAATGTTAGATTAGTTTTTATATTAAGAATTTGAGGTAGTACGACATAAAAGTTAGGTGGTGGTACAATTTTGCATAATATCTATTTATGCAAATAAATTAACTATCCATCTCCCAAAAAAAAAAAAGTAAATTAACTATGACATCACATTACTAAGAATCTAACAGAATAAAAAGCCCTCTAATAGTCGTTACGAAAAAACAATAAGTAAACGACACAATTCATGAAATATGGGAAAGTAATGCAAATATAAAGATGCTGACTCAGAAAATAAATTATATCATGGAAAGAAACGTAATAATATTTATGACGTCATGGATGACGTGGGCCGATTGCGACAGTCACATGTATATTGACTGTAGGTTAAGACTTTAGGTTGTAACATTAATTAATTGTCAACCTTGTCCATTGACTCAGATACTTTCGAGTTTCAATGTATATATTCCAACAAAATTCAAAAATACGTTGTTCGTGTTCAGGAAATATATACTCCTCTGGTTTTTAATATATGACTCAATTTTTGAGTTGGTTTTGGTTCTAAATATAAGATTTATATTTCATATTTATCAATTTTCTCTAAATTAGCCCTATGGATACTCCCTCAACTATAATCAAGTAGAAGAGAGAGTGAGGTATTAAAAAAGATGATTATAGTGTTTTAGAAAAAATATGTCATTTTTCTTATAATTAACTAATTTACCTAATTTTTTTAATCTAATCAAATTAGTTAAATGAGTCTTATATTAAAGACAGAAAGAGTATAATATAAACAAATAATTTAAATACATTTTTAATTTTAGAAACAAATATTTCGTGACTCAGAAGAAGCTTTGGCCTTCCATTCTCTAGTTCTTATATGCTGTCAAAGTACAATTAGATGTCCCTATTTTAATAAAGTTAGTGTTTATTCGGATTGGTAAAGACCATTCGAATAGCTTTTCAAACATAATTTATAAAATATTAATAAGTATATTAAAAAAATTTATCTTTATATATATGTACATCCTTATGAGTATTTATATTAAGTAATTTCAAACAAGTAATTGATAGCCTTAATAGAAACTTCTTGAGATTTTATGGTAAAATTTAAATCACTTAACATGTGCTAACTCCAAAATGATAATATTTAAGTATTTCAATCTAATCAGGAAAGAGATTATATTAATACTGATCCAATAACACTTCTAATCTATAAACAAAAATTATTAATCATTAATCATTAATCAGGTCTCAATCATCTTTTTCCCACAGATGCCAATAAATTGAGCTATTATCTTCTCTTTGTAAAATTAAAATATAAAGTGCGCAAAAGGATAAAACACAAAATTCAAAATGAAAGTTATTTATGAAAATAAATGAAATACTTATTATCTATTTATGATGTCAGCGATGATTTGGCTCGATGGGGATATGCTTTGTTTGTAGGGGTTTCAAGGTCAATTGCCAACAAGGACTTTTGCACACAATTTTTATTTTTCACTTGTATCCTTTTTTTCATGAAAAAAAAAGTAATACAAAAGGTTTATTGTAATTTTAGAGAAAATAGATGTGAAAAATAGTAATTCGTTAATATTTTTAAAAAAAAAATTATAATTATCATTGTAATAATTTAAAAAGTATAGCTAGGAAAAACCCAATAATTTAACTGCAAGAATTTGTAGACTAATTTTGTAAAATTAATTGGAAAAAAAGGAACATAAAGCTACAGGTTTCATCATGTATTCATGTGACTGTTTCTTGCATATTTCCCCTTTAGTGTTGACTAAAGCATGCATACATGTGGTGGTCCTGAATTTAATTTCAAAAGCATTCATTTTTTAACTCCTAAAATCTTAGTTTAAATAATAATTTTCTGTAAGAATCATATTTTTTTAAAATTTAAAATTAAATGTTATTTTTTAATAATATTTTAATTAATATTAAAAATTTTAGTATTATTATTATTTATAATGATTTTAAGGTTAAATGACTAAAAATATATATTTTAATTTAAGAAAATAAATTAAAATATTGTATAAAATTAAATTTATAATTAATTACTAAATTATCAGTTATATTATTTTTAATTAAAGGAACATGTATTAACAATTTGAGATTATAAGCGAGAGATTAAAATAGCAATTTTCCACTTGTATTGAACTCTTATACTATTATACTGCAAAATCATTGATAATAATATTTTATTTGAAGCAAAGAAGAGACATGAATAAATATTTATGCCTCATTCCTTCACGTTGTCTCCTCAAATGGGTTAGCTAGGAGACTCTCCTTTAAAGAGCAAGTCAGATATGGTCAGAGGTCCCAGAAGTACAAAAGCGCGACTGTGCATTGTCACAATCACCCCCCCCCCATAAGTTCCATAATATCTTCTTCATGACCCTATTCTGTACAAGTAAAATTAATTAAGTTTTAAAAAATAAATCATGTGATATTTACTGTGTTATGGATGGATTGATTAGTGACACTGTTATTGCTTAATAATATTTTAGTATTATTTTCTCGTTCAAAAAATCTTTTTTTAAGGACATAAAGTATATAAACTTTATTATATTTTCATTACTATTATTTTTTAGGTTTTTAAGCAGAAGTATTTCCTTTGCTGAAGAGTACTTCCTGTGTGCTCAGTGGTCATTGCTCTTTCATAGCCTTCATTTTTCTTATTAATGCAATATCTCTTGTCTTTACTATAAAAGTTAATTTAATTTTTATTTTGATCTTAAATATAAAATTCTAATTTATTTTATCTCTCATATCTATTTATTTTTTAAGATAATTCTTATAATAATAGTAATTTTAATTAATATACTTGATTAATAAAAATATTTTAAAAAAATACATATTTACTATAAATAACTAACTTAATTAAATTTTTTAATTTAGCCAAATTAGCTAACTAACTCTTATATTAGTGACTGGAAGTAGTATATATAATATTTTATCAATAAAATTTTTATCTAATATAAAATTATAAATATATTTTTATTACAGTACCAAAGCTATGTAATGTAGGTCAATGTTACACTGCAACAAAAAATATTTTATTTTCAATACAGAAAATAAAAATAAAGAATCCAAATGACCAAAAAGTTCACTAATATTTTTAAGATGTAGACCCAAAAAATAATTGATAAATAAACGTGTAAGAAGCAGGTATTCTTTCCTTAACCAACTTTATTTATTATTGAAAACCAACCCCTCATCTTCTTTTTATTCTTGCTTCGTCCCCACTCTCTCTCTCGGACGGCGAAGCTTCTCTCTTTTTCTCTCTATTCTCTTTCTTATCTTCGTTGATATTCCTTCAAGTCCAACAATCTCAACCGAAACTTCCACAGCCCGCGGCTTTTTCCCAACGTTTTTCATTACCGCAAAATTCCAAACTTAAAAAAAAAAAAAAAACCCATTCTCCCCAGCCGCGTAAAACGACACGCTTCCCAGATGGATCCATAAATTATTATTACGTCAAATCATTTTTAAATTGAAAAAGTTTCAACTTTTATCTCCAAAAACGAGTCATAGTCACCGTCAAACTACAGCATCCCCAACCACGCGTTCAGATTTGCGCACACGCTTCTTCTTCCTTCTCTATCTCTCCCTCTATATATCCTCCCAAGACTCCATTCTTCTTCCTCACCCAATTCTTCAGCGTTCACACCTTCCTTTCACACAAAACTCACCTTTTGATCTTCCAATTGGAACCTGTTTCTGTTGCGAACCTTGATTTCACACCAACCCAGAGGACAAAGACCGATTCTTTGATGGAGATTAGCCCGGTCCCATTTCTTAATCAGGAAGATTATTCACACTTCTATAGCTTGTATTCAGAGATGGATTCATATTTAGGTGTCAACGACAATGCAAACAAGAGGGGTCGAAAGGACGACGAAGGAGGGAATGATGGTCGGAGAAGTGTTAATGAGTACCATGATTTGAAGAAGAATTCGTTGAAGGATATTTTCACTTCATTGGTTCTGTTGGACGAAGAAGATAAGCAAGAGGAGAAGAAGAGAGCTATGGAATCCGAGGAAGACAGAGCTATGTTCGAGTATAACTATAAGCAGCAAACCCAAGCTATGAATGATTACTATGCACAGTTTCAGGACCACTACTCTCAGACGGATGAGCTCGACCATTCGGTAACCAAAAGGGCCCGCCGTTCTGCCTCCGCAATGTCTGCTTCAGCTTCAGCTTCAGCTTCTGCTGCTGTTTCCGAATCTGCTTTCATTCCTGATAATGTGGGTTCTGAAATTACGGCGCCGGCAAGTTCTGCATCGCCGTCTTCGGGTCAGCACCATCGCCGACTATGGGTGAAGGACCGGTCAAAGGATTGGTGGGAACGGTGTAACCATCCTGACTTCCCGGAGGAAGAATTCCGGCGATCGTTCCGGATGAGCAAAGCAACATTTGATATGATCTGCGAGGAACTTGACTCGGTGGTGATGAAGAAGAACACGATGCTTCGTGACGCTATTCCGGTGAGGCAACGTGTTGCTGTGTGTATTTGGAGATTAGCCACAGGGGATCCTCTTCGTCTTGTGTCAAAACGTTTCGGATTGGGCATATCAACCTGTCACAAGCTTGTTCTTGAGGTGTGTTCTGCCATCAAAACTGTTCTAATGCCTAAGTTTCTTCACTGGCCTGATGAAGGGAAGATGAATGAGATCAAGCAGGAATATGAATCGATGTCTGGAATACCAAACGTTGGAGGATCAATGTACACTACCCATGTTCCCATCATTGCACCTAAGATCAGCGTGGCTGCTTATTTCAATAAGCGTCACACTGAGAGGAACCAGAAGACTTCATACTCAATCACAGTTCAAGGGGTTGTAGATCCTAAGGGGGTTTTCACTGATGTGTGCATTGGATGGCCTGGTTCAATGCCTGATGATCAAGTGCTGGAGAAATCAGCTTTATACCAGAGAGCGAGCAGGGGACTTCTGAAGGACGTTTGGATAGTAGGAAATTCTGGGTTTCCTTTAATGGATTGGGTTTTGGTTCCATATACCCACCAAAACCTCACTTGGACTCAACATGCATTCAATGAGAAGATTGGGGACGTTCAAAAAGTTGCCAAGGAGGCCTTTGCTAGATTGAAAGGTAGGTGGGCTTGCTTGCAGAAGAGAACAGAAGTCAAGCTACAAGACTTGCCTGTTGTTCTTGGAGCTTGCTGTGTTCTGCATAATATCTGTGAGATGAGAAACGAAGTGATGGATCCAGAGTGGAACTTCGACCTCTTTGATGATGAGATGATCGCTGAGAACAACATACGCTCTGCCAATTCAGTCCAAGCTAGGGATTACATAGCCCACAATTTGTTGCATCATGGTCTTGCAGGCACCAGCTTTTTGTAGTAGATTTGGTTTTTTCTTCTTCTGATTTTGTATTTTTAATCTTATTGTCATTCTTTTGGCTATGTATTCTTAGTCATTAGCAGAGAATGGTTGTCATACCAGAATAGACATGTATCTGCCCATACACATTATAAATGAATACCTTTTTGTGTGAAATGGTTTTTTGCCTCTTCAATTACTAAGGTTAGGTTAGTGCCACATCTTTCCTCTGCTACCATGCCAAGTACTGTGTCCCACCATGTTTGACTCATGAACTTTTGGCTTTCGTACTAGCAGTATCTTTCCCAGGCGAGGATCAATTCTAAATCTTGGCTCACCAAAACTACTTATCAACAATAAATTTCCAAAGAAATTGATGGCTGTTTCCTGAAATCCTCAAGTCAGCAAGCAGTTTCAAACTTATTTGGCCTTGTCTGTTACATAATTCCTGTGCTTCCCTTTGCTGTAGCAGAGCACACCTTGCAGAGTCAAGATCTCTAACTTTCCAGATGAGAGTCAACATGAAATCTTCTAGTCTCGGACTCTATTTAAATTTGAACAGACACAAATACAATTCTCAAAATCGTAGATGCCCACTAGAAAAAAGCTACAAATTTCCTCTCTTCACCTCAGAAAACAGGAACCTTGTTCTTTCCCCCATATCATTCAAGGCTTCCTCTATCACAAATAAGAGAAATTCGGAATATCTATCATTGCCGGACAGCTTAAGAGGACGGTGAGAAGCGATGCGATATAAGCCCGATGTACGCGCTTCATCATCCGCAACTGAGAGAAACAAGAAATGAACAGTGCATCTACTGCATTTCTTACACATAGACCATTGATTTTCCCTCAAGCTAGAAATGACTTGGGATTATAGTTAACTAGATTAGTAAATTTGGTCAAACCTTATTGTCACGAATAATTAGAGGTCGTCGTATTGGGGGAATGGGGGCTGGACGAATAGTGGTCCGTGTTGATCCCAAGTGTTGTCTTCCACCACGAAATCTTCAATTTCCAATGTCGCGAAGATTCGAACGAACCAATTAGCAGCGAAAACTAGTCCGACGGAGAAATTGAAACCTGAGAGATCAAAGAGAGTGCGAGAGAAAGACTTGTAACCGTTTATTCTTCTTCCGGAGTCTCTAGGCTTCATTGCCTCAATTATCCAGATTGTAAACCCAGAGAAATCAAGGAAGGGTGAAAAGATCTTCGAAGAAAAGGTTGGGAGAGGGAAGGGCTTTGGGAATGGAGGACGATTGGGAGGAGAAGGAGGCGGGTTGGGCCTGACGATGGAAAAGAACGACATCGTTTCGATTAAAAAAAATCTGAGCCATCTAAAGTAAAGATTAACCATTGTCGTTGCTTCCTTTTCAAATAAAAATGCCTTGCGTGCAATAAAAATTGCAGGAAAAAATTTAAAATTACTAAATTTTAAGTGAAAATTAGAAAAATAGTAAAAAGAAGATTGTGGAAATTGTAAAATCACATATTAAGACCCATTACAAGAGTTATATAGGTTTTGACAATAATCGAATAGTAAATGACAACAAATTTTTTTACAAAATACCTTACTTGCAATTTCACAATTTCCACAATTTTTCTTGTGATTTTTTTAAAAATTTTATAAAATATATTATTATTTATAAATTCAGTGTTATCAAAATTTATTAAATTATTATTATTAAACTTGATTTGGAATTTAGGGTTTTTTTATGGGATTGTCCTTGATTCTTTTTATGTATATAACTTCTTTTTGCCAACATTTTCAATTTTCATATATAACCCTTGATAAATTAATAATCCTCCTAAATTTTTAAATTTATAGATATAACCTCTTACTAATCCATTATTACGTTATTTCACTACCAGAATGTACCACAGCACATTATTGACCGAATGCCTTTAAAAATTTTATATGCATTATTATTTTAGTGAACTAAAAAAATGAATTAATAGTTTTTTTTGATAAAAAAACAATTAAAATGCATTAATCATAAAAATACCGAGGAACAAAAAAACAAATCAGGACTTAAACCAGTCAAGATATCGGGTCAAGGATTACTGGTCACATCGATCATATTAAAATAATATAATATAATTAATCAATACTTTTTATCGTGATGATTCTGAGGGACATTTATTACTTACTTCATGTTTGTGAGTGTAGATGACAGACAATTCCATTTTATTTACTCTAGTTGTTTATTTTTTATGTGTCTGACATTCAATGCTATTCTGAAAGTGATTGACCCATTGAAACATTGACATCGCAGGGTCTGGTGCTTTCATTGCCTTTGTTCAACATATTGTCCTTGATTTATGAGTGTGGGTAAATTGCTTTTCATGGATGGGTATGCAAGAATTCCAAGCTCCTACACAATTCTTTCCAATGGATAACTTCTATTATGATTTTGTGTTTATTTAGACTCTGGAGATACTTCCAGGAAAGGTACAGATTAGAGTGACTTGTGTTCTAGGGAATAGTCTGATTCTGCAACAAAATCAGAATCTGGACGAGTTGCAGATCAGAAATCATCCCTTAAGAGTAATGCAGAGAACCTGAAGCTAAAGCGTACTAACTTTTGCAATGCGAGTGGCAAAGGCGAAACAAGAGGTGGTGATTGGTGAGGTTGAGGGAGACTCAGGCTTGCGATGGCTGGTGGTGAAGGTAAAGCAGGGAAAGATCGAACAAAGAGCTTTGCCATGGACCGTGCTGTCAGCGACTCTAGGGAGCAGGGATTTTGGAGGAGGTGATCGTGGTTTTGGTTCGAGGGAGGAGGACAGTTACGTGAGCAAAGGGGAATCAGGGGAGGGAAGTAGGGATTAGGGAACTTGACGATGAACCACTAAACTGTGAAGGCCAAAAGGGAAGAACCAAAGAACTGAAGAAGGGTTTCTTTTTAAAAATAAAACTGTGTCGTTTTGGGCATTCTGGAAGGCCAAAACAAATAAACCGAGCACCCACTGAACGAGGGTTACCAGATTTAATACCAGTTAAATCAGTTTTTTACCGGTTCAATATACCACTAAGCCAAAAAAAGGACATTATTGTTTACCAAATGCATTCTGTTTCTATCACCTATAGCTTCCCAGAAAAAAATCTAAACATCGAGCACCAATTCTAGAGCATATGCCTTGAGGCAATTTAGTGCAGGATACGATATGAATCTTAGTAGCAACAAGTACCGATTTAAGAGGGGTAGGTCATGATGCGTGTGAGAGTAGTTTTGCCTTCCACGCTGAAGTGCGTCTCTCAATTGATTCAATCACTTGGAGATATATTTGAGATTTATTTCTCCCAGGATCTATCCAAGTTCTGAAATATTTTCCCAATTTCTCAGAAAAATGTACTCCTAAAACTTGAGAATATTGCAACTTAAGACCATGAGGAGTACTTGGACTGAAGATAGTAGAGAACTTTTGGAGATTGATTCTTTGACCAAACCATAAGCAATAAGTATCTAGAACTTGCTTGACATTATTAATCGCTTCCTCTGAGACTTCAAAAAACAAAATTGAGTCGTCAACATAAAGCAGATGAGAGATGAGAAATAGATTGACCTGTGTTGCAAATTTTGATTCCGTGTCATTGTCCTTGGGATTCCAAATGATTAATAAGGCAGGAAAGAATATTAACAGTGAGAATGTAAAGGTAAGGACATAGGGGTCTCCTTGTCTAAGACCTCTATGAGGAAAAATGGGTTGAGTAACAGGTCCATTAAAATTTTTTTTGATATTGTACTGTTGTAATGCATTGCAAGATAAGAAAAAACCATTTTTAAATTCATATGAGTCAGTATAGCGAAAATAAAGCTTCAAGAAACACTATCAAAGGCCTTGGCAATATCAATTTTGAAAGTAGCCAATTTTTTCTAACCTTTCCTTGATAGGTGAATTTGGTTTATCGGTTCTGCAACTAGAACAATATTGTTCGAGATGAGTCTTTCCTTTAAAAAAGCACCTTGATTGGGAGCTATCAATTTTTGGAGTACCTTTTTAAACCTTAGGCATAAAATCCTAGAATGGATTTTATATATGACATTGCATAGACTTATAGGCCTGGGGTCCCTGAAAGATTGCAAGTTGTCAAACCTCGGTATAAGAATGATGTGTGTTTTGTTAAAAGACCGAAGTAAGAATTCAAAGGACCAAAAACTATTGAACATTGCATGAAGATCATCACCTATTAAGTACCAGAGTTTTTGGGGAAAAAAAAGGGCATGAAAACCATTAGGTCCAGGGGCACTATCTTTTGGTAGTGAGAACACAGCTTCCTTAACCTCTTCTAAGGAGATAGGTTGTAACAGCCATTCAGTGTCCTCATTTTATAAAGTTGGAACAAAGATTTCATTTAGAGTATTTAGGACAAACTGGGAGTCCAAAGTACCAGAGGAGTGATAGACATCTAAAAAATGCCTAAAAGCCATGCCAAGAAGCTCCTCAAAATGAATTAACCTACTTTTTATGAATATAAAAGTTTAAGTGTTCGTTTTAAAGTTGTTTTTAAAATATATTTGCACATATCCCAAATTTTAAGGGCTCATAATAATTTGATTGAAAAAAATAGTATGTACTCCCTGACTTCATCGACAATTGACCAGATGGATGGTCAAATTACCTATGAAACGCCTATCATACTGTACAAATGTGAATAATGAGAAAAGCTAGTTATGCCAGCTTTCGTATTTAATATAAAAATTAAATAATTAATTTACGGATATTAACAAATAGTTAAATTAATTTTCTATAATTTATGAGTATTGTTGTTTTAAAATTAAATATTATTATTAATTATGTGTATTAAAGTTGTTCCTTGATAGAAACCTTTTAATGTGAACAATTAGTATGACAACTATTTTAGGGGAAATGAATAAATACGGGGGACAAAGTAAATCAAAATTTTATATTTAGGACTAAATTAAATTTTTAATTAGCTCTTATAATGGGATAAGAGGGAGTATATATTTCATTATGTATTTAATTATTTGTTAAACAAATAACTCCCTGACTTGACTGAATTATTGAGAATCAAATGTAAGTTAACGAAAGAAGAAATTAACTCATATATTATGTAACAATTCTCCCAATTTTATTCAACAAGCTATCGATCCTATTTTAATGGGTGCAAAATATAAAATAAGAATAATTTTTTAACTATTACTTTTTTTAAAAAAATAATTTTTTATTTAAAGTTAATTAATTAAAAATATTAAATTTGTACCATTCAAACCTAATAGGAAGAATCCAAGTGAGGTAAGTTTTGAGCATCTGTTCCTCGTAAAAAAGGTTGGATTGGCGTATTCTTGACTCTCATGTAAACTTTTTCAGGCTTTAAAATGGTAATTGTACCAGTCTTCCTAGCTTTTTGTAGTGGTTATATTAATGCCTTTTGGCATCCACTTTTTTGATTAAAACCAACGGAGGAATTCAACGCGGGGTTTTAACTTCATTTGGCCTTTTCTGCGGCGAAATAAATGAACGCGGGGTAGCAAGGCAGTACAGATCGGATGACACCAAAAGAACTAAATGTAGTCCTGCGAAAATTTTCATGCTGTTGCTTTCATCCTGCATACGAGTATCCAGCTAGCGCGATTATTGAGATAAAGTTATTCTCTATTTCAATCTCTTTTATATATATACACTATAAAGTTTTATATTTAGAATTAAAAAAATATTATAGACACTATTTCTTGTTTTTTTTAAAAAAAATTATTCTCTCTCACTAACTTTCTCAATAAATAAACAAGAATATATTTAAAAAAACATTTTTTATTTTTAGGTGTATTTATTGGACGGGACGGAATACTTATTTTGATCCTGTCCTAGTAATCGAGATGAGATAGTCTTTTTATGTCTTATCTTATTCTGTGCTATCTTCTTTTTTTAAATTTTTTTATTTGATAACTAATTGCAAATGAAATATAAGAACTCGTGATAAAACTGGTATAATTAAAAAAAAAGTTGGTCAAAAATGAAAAATAATTGAAAACTACCGAAGGAAAAAAATTTAATCTTAAATAGACTAAAAGTAAATAAACTCAAAATGTTGGCTAAAAACAGCATATAACCGATTAAAAAAGCCTTGTAAACAGCATAATTAAAATAATAATTAATAAGTAAAGTAAATTTATATTAAAAAAAGTTACATGATACGCGGAAATGGGACTGAGACAGGGCACTCTACCTCACACCCTGTCCAGAATTATTATTATTATTATTATTGCCATTACGCACCCTTTCCAGATACTTTTGTAACATTCTCTTTTTGTCCTCTCCCAAAATATATTTTGAGGCCAAGACGAGACATTATATTGTTAAATATTTTATTGTTTTTAATTAATTTTAACAAAATTTTTATATATTTGATTTAGTTATTTATGGTGAGAGTTTTAACAACTCATATAAACACTTAAAAAAATGTTTTTATATAATTTGAAATACAATTTTTTTAGTTGAGAAATCATTTCTAAAATATTAATGTAAGCAGCACCATCCCCAGCAAGGAGTGATAATCCTTTTCCTACGGGCCCAGTGATGATGCGAGCGATTACGATACTCCCCGTGACGTATGTTATACATTAATTGACAGCCTTGTCCATTGACTTACTTTCAATTTCAATTTTTGTTCAAAAAAATTTAAAAACATATTCTTGCTATTTAATATCAATAGAAGATCTATATTGATGATGATTAATAAATAAAAGATGATATTATTAAAAAATTAAAAGAAAATGATCAAATTTGATGAATTTTGAGTAAAAACATGTGCGGAATTTTATATAATAAGTTGAAATTGCCTCCCTTAAAGAAATTTTTTTTTTAAAAATAAATTGAAGTCCTTGACTACCTAGACTATTCCAAGTAATCCAATAGACCAAGTTCAATCTACTACCAACCTCGGGTGGTCTTTTTTAGTCCAAAGTTTTTACTAAAACAAACTTCGAGTTGATAGCAAATCCAGTTCAATATGGTCTATAGATACTCTTAATGAGTTGTGTTACTACTTACTACTTGAATAACTAGCTGTTGACATGGTTTTTTGTTATGTGGCAAAGGGATGTGGTTTATAAATTTGTATTCATTGTTTGCTTACCATGTGAATGCAACGGCAACAAGTCTCGATGAAATTGCTTATTATGTTAATAAATAATAAAAACATATGAAATGCCATGTGATCTAGCTAGTAGGGTCCAACCTACAAAAATAGCTAAAGTTAGTTAAAAGCTAACCCGCTGAAAAATCGAAACCAAAACTTGTATTGCAAAATTCATACCATACCACCAAACCTACAATTCGGAAGCTAACTCACATTTTTTCAATTTTACTAATTATTATATTATAATTATATAATTATACTGTATACCCTATCTAACAAATAAAAAGTACTATATCATTTATTTGGGGTTTTCAACTAAGTCTATGAAGGGAAAATAAAAATTTCTTTATATTTTGTTTATACTGTATAAGAAAATTTTTTTTTAAAAACTTACTATGACAGGTGCCATTATACATAATCTTTTTAATTAGTACTGTCTAACCTTAACCCATTATGAGCTAACTCATAACCCGGGAGTTGGCCGTATTACCACTCGTGATACTATTGATGTATACCAGTTGCATCAAAGAAAATAATAAATACCATAGTTCAAAACACTTTTACATAGACCAAAAAATGAAAAATAACGATTTTACTTTTTTTTTTTTTACAAAATTTATTAAGTTATCATTCATATCTCATGCTTATTCAATTAACTTTATCTCGCAAATTTCACTAGGATGAGTTGTTAAATGTTATATGCACACACATATATACATATTCTATTTCCTAAACAGTTCAACAAATACAAAATGCAAACAGAAGATCTCACGACTTGCTTTCATGTACGTTCCAATTTTTTTTTGGCCAAACATATACTTTCCAATATTATTAAAAAAGCTTAGCAGCAGCACATATTGTATTTAGCATACACCTAACTTTTTTCCCAACATTTATTGAGGATATACCCATCACATTTTAACATTTAAGAGCCAATGCCCTTCAACATCATTTTATAGACTTATCTCATTGATATATGATCTCAATCGTAAATATGTTGTCAGGTAAAAAAAAAAATCGTAAATATGTTGCAAACTGGGAGTTGGTTGTCATTATCTTTATCTCTCCCTGACCTTTTTTTCTGGTTACCAAAAATGAGTCAAAGTCTCCGTCAATCAAACTGCACCATCTTCAACAAGGCGTTCAGATTTGCACACTCACTTCCTTCTCCCTATATATTTCTTCATCATCCTAACTAATAATTCCTCAGACCACAGCTCAGGCCAACCCAGAAAGAACAAAGACTCGTTCTTTATGGACCTTAGCTCTTTCCCCTTTCTTAATGATACTTCACACTTCCTTAACTTGTACCCAGAGATGGATTCTTGTTTCAGCATGAACAACAATGCTAAACAAAGGGGTATTTTTAGTTCGTTGATTCCGTCGGCCGACGAAGATGAGAAGCAACCGGAGAAGAAGAAAGCCATGGATTCCGATCAAAATGAAGCCATGTTCGAGCGTAACCATAACCAGCAAGCTCAGGCTATGATTGACTATTACATCCAACTTCAGGATCCTTGCTCTGGGATGAATGGGTTCGACCATTTGCTAACCAAAAGACCTCGTCGTTGTTCTACTTCTGGCCTCGTTTCTGACAATGTGGGCTCTAATGTTCAGGCGCCGGCGAGATCTGGATCGCCTTCTTCTTCGGGTCTGCGCCATCGCCGGCTATGGGTGAAGGAAAGGCCAAAGGAATGGTGGGAAAAGTGCAGCCACCCTGACTTCCCGGAGGAAGAATTCCGGCGATCGTTCCGAATGGGCAAAGCAACGTTCAGCATGATCTGCGACGAACTCGGACCGGTGCTGATTAAAAAAAACACGACGCTTCGTGAGGCTATTCCGGTGAAGCAACGAGTTGCTGTGTGTATATGGAGTTTAGCCACTGGAGATTCTCTCCGCCTTGTGTCCGAACAGTTTGGTTTAGGCGTATCAACCTGTCACAAACTTGTCCTCGAAGTGTGTTCCGCCATCAAAACAGTTCTAATGCCTAAAGTTATTCACTGGCCCGATGAATCAAAGATGAAGATGATCAAGAACGAGTATGAACAAATCTCCGGCATACCAAATATCGGAGGCTCAATTTACACAACCCATATTCCCATCAACGCACCAAAGATCAACAACGGAGTTGAATATTTCAACAGGCGTCTCACTGCGAGGAATCAGAAAAATTCATACTCAATTACAATTCAGGGTGTCGTAGATCCTAAAGGGATCTTCACAGATGTTTTTATTGGTGGATCTGGCTCCATGAACAATGATCAAGTGGTAGAGATATCTTGTTTAAACCAGAGAGCCAATATGGGATATCTAGAAGATGTATGGATAGTGGGAAATTCTGGGTTTCCTCTGATGGATTGGCTTTTGGTTCCATATACAGAAGAAAATCGCACCTGGAGCAAACATGTGTTTAACGAGAAGATTGGGGATGTTCAAAAGGTTGCTAAGGAGGCGTTTGGGAGATTGAAAGGTAGATGGGGTTGTTTGCGGAAGAGAAGAGAGATGAAGCTTGAAGATTTGCCTCTGATTCTTGGGGCTTGCTGTGTTCTGCATAATATCTGTGAGATGAGGAACGAAGAGATGGATCCAGAGTGGAAGTTCGACGTTTTTGATGATGAAGTGATACCTGAGAACAACATAAGATCTGCTAATTCAGTCCTGGCTAGGGATTACATAGCTTATAATTTGTTGCACCATGGCCTTGTAAGGTATTAGGTAATTTTTCCTAGTTAGGAAAGGAATTCATTTTGATTGAAGGTAGGTCTCACTTTGCTTGAAAGTTTTTATATAAGAGCCATGAGTATTCAAAATTTTTTTTAAAGATCAGTATCATCCTAGAAGTGTTAAAAAAAGAGCAAATTCGCCCTAGTCATTAAAAAAATAATGGTGGTCTTTAATATTTTTAACTGTTAGGGGGCGATTCACTACTCATTTTTTAATACTTTTGAGATGATAGATAATGATCCAAAGAAAATTAGGATATTCACAACTCCTATATAAAAGCTTTTAGGATAAAACCGAGACTTATCCCTTCATTAAATGATACGGAGAAGTGAGACATCTATTACTTGCTTATAATTTCTATTCAATAGCAATAATTATAATTATTGAGATGCGTGTGTAGTGACTTGTACAAAGACAAAATAGTGCAAGGAAAAATGGTAGCATTGCATATGGATGGTACAAAATAGATCTCTCCGGATTTCAACTAATTGGAAGAATTAATAGTAGCTCATCCATATTATTATTTCTGATTCTTAATATAAGACCTAATTAATTAATTTAACAAGATTAAAGAATATATTAAATTATTTAATTATAACATATGTTACGTACGTGATTGCTTTAAAATACTTGTATGTATCATTAGATTATATATCAATTTATAAATTATGCAAATTAATTAAAAAATAATAAATATAATACTTTAAATAACCTAATAATTTTTTTTAATTTCTTTAAATTAATTAACTTTTGACCTTTCGGTAGTCATATGAAAAGATGTGGCCGGAGACCAATTAGGCATTAAGAAAGGTTCGCGTGTTCAATGATTCAATCAATGTGACGACAAAGCCAGCTTTTTCAATCACGTGTTCAAAAAGAACTCCTCCAAAGTGAGATTGAGATTATCATCTTCCAGTAGATATGATTGGCTGGGACGTTCTATCCCTTTTACCAGCCTTGTTCTGACTTTTATGTTAAAGTTATTTCCTTTTCCTCATTTCCTAATATTTTCCAGAATCTTATTTGTACCATTTGGAAGCCAGTTCAGCGCTCATCAGATTAATAAGTATTATTATGCTCATCAAATATGGAGCATTTAGATTTAATATGCACAGTCTAGATTTAATTTTTTTTATTCTTTTATGTTTTTTTAATTTTTTTCATTTTAAAGTGTATAGAATCCAGAGAAAAACAATATTTCACTTGTTAATTTGTTCAAAAATGACTTTTTAATTTAAAGATTATTACTTAAAAATTTTAAATTAAGACCATTAAAACTATATTTGGATGGTGTAGATCTCACCATAATGAAGAGTACCAAAATACTCCTCCGGTTCTAAATATAAAACTAATTTTGTAGTGCAATTTATATTATGAAATAGATCATATATTTAGGATCGGAGGAGTATTTATTAGTGTGATCAGCATTGAAAGTTCAAACTAATTCCGCTCTCCTCATATTGTCAACTATTGAATGCTTGTTGAATTAATATCATTTTGTCTTTTTTGGGGAAGAAAAAAAGAAGACATTTAGGAAGGTCGTACGACATGATCTCCTGTGAATGATATTTTGAACATCAAATTGTCCGTAGAGTCTAATATTATTAGATGATTTATATAGTTGATTTCCCTTGCTTAGATAAAACTTTGCAATTATACCATTTCTAGTCCTTAATATACAAAATTACTTAATTAATTTATATACATTAAGAAAATTAAATTAATTAATTTATTATAACAGATGTGATATAATCTTTTTAAAATATTTTTGTATGACAATAGATTATATATATTAATTTATAAGTTAAACAAATTAGTTTTAAAAAAATAATAAATATAAGAGATATAGTGATTCTCATATTTAAAATTAAATTTAACTCCCAACTGACTTATAGACATGGGTATTAATTTCTTTTTTTGTCTTATTTGTATCATCATATGAATAATTCAGAGTTATCCTCACTATGATGGGTATTAATTTCTATCCATGGATACACAATTTTACACATAAAAGGTCCTTTTTTTTAATAAAAAAACAAAAAATCCTTCTCCTGTCCGTTACTTCCCACAAGCCTACGTAAACCTCATTAGTCAAACAGGACACATTTGTATCTTGCCCATACAACATGTATAAATGGCTACCTTTTGTGTTGACTTTTCTATTCTTTTTCTTTTTTTGTCTTCACTTCTAACTTCTCACATAAGCCTTTTGACCAAAAACAAACTTCTAACATAAGCTTAGTGCCACATTTTTCCTTTTGTTTCCGTGTCAGGTGCAGTGTCCCACATTGTTTAATAATTCTTGAACTCTTGTCCTCTCCAAGTCAAAGTCAACATCAACACTTTATATATTACTATTATCAACATGGTTTTGGCTTTTGTACTTACCATTTACATATAGTATTTTACTATTTTTGCCATGTACTGTCCCGGCAAAATTGCAAAAATATGAAGGTTTGATCTTCCTAGAGTGTTTAGCCTGTCTTATGTAGTCCCCAAAACACAAAATAAACAAAAATGACAATAAACTTTAACAAATTGCCTCTAATATGTCCTTATTAAAGTCATTATTGGGTTAAATGTTATAAGTTTCACTAAATCCTGTTCCTCATCATCACTTTGCTGGAGCAGAGAATACCTGAAGATTCCATGTTTCGCCTCCCCGGTAGAAATTCAAACATGAAGATTCCATATGTCTGCCTACCTGAAAAAGTGGGGAAAAAGGGCAAAAAGGAAAGGCCACAACTTTCTTCTTCTCTTCACCTCAGACTCAGAAAGTACGACTCTTTTCTTTTCCCACTTATTCCACGAGAGAACCCATGACATGACTATTTACCATACATTTTATGAGGAGGGTGAAGAGTTTTGCAATGAGAACCCGATTTACTCGCCGTATCAACCTCAAAATCAGAGAAGAAAGAAGAAGAAGAAGAAGAAAGCATGACCGGTGAATCTGCTTCTACAGTTCTCTCACATGCAGAGAATGTATCATCTTTGTTTGGTGTTTTCCAAATAAAGCCTGGTTAAAAATTCACAAACTTGTAGATAGCCGTTGTGGTTTTGCTCCATTCTTTCTAAAAAAGAATATCAAAAGCCAGGATAGTACAGCCATGTCGAGCTATATTGGCATTGTTTTTCTTTTTTTTTGACTTGAGAACCGTCACAGAGTCTTCTTCAGAGGTTCTATCAATGGCATAATTTTCGCTCAAGCTAGAAATGACTTGGGATCATAGTTAATTGGAGTGGCAAATTTAGAGAAACAACAATGTCGTCGATAACCGTTGGCCGTAGGATTAGGGCTTGATGAGTGGTGGTGCATGGTGATCCCAAGATGTTGTCTACCACCTCGACATCTTAGATGTCCGACATTGCGGAGATTCCGGAAAGGGCTAATCAGTAGTGAACACTCGTGGGAAGACAGACATGTAAGCGTTTCTTTGTAAGAGGTCTTCTTCGGCCCGAGTCTCGAGGCTTCATGTCTCAATTATCCAAATCGCGAAAGAGAGAGAGAGAGAGAGAGAGAGAGAGAGAGAGAGAGAAAGAAAGGAAAAAGAATCTTTGAAGAAAGGTTGGTACAGGGAAGGGCTTCGGAAATGGAAGACGTTCGGGTGGACAAGGAGGAGGAGGAGGAGGAGAGGTGGGACCCATGGTTGGGGGAGAAGAGGAAGGAGAGGCAGGTTCGAGCTTAACGATGGAGAGGGTGGCTGTCGCCAAGAAGTTCATCGAAAACCATTACAAAGCCCAGATGAAGCTCATACAAGATCGCAAAGAGAGGTAATACAGTAGTACCCTCCTTTCATTTGACGGGACAATTCAGAATCCTCCAATTAGAGCGACGTGCATCTTAAATTAAGCTGGAGAATCTTAAAACGTCAACTTTTTTTTTTAAATAAATATATTTAATTTAATTCTTATTATTTAGGATCAAAATCTGTTGAGAAGAACTAACTTGACAACAATGCTTTTCTCCTACCACCAAAGGCAGCTCCTTTGACAATCTTCTCTCTTTACGCTTATGATTTTGTCTCCCATTTTCTTGCGTGTCGTTGGGACTTGGGGGGCTTTTCCTTTTCATGCTTTATTTATTCTGGAGGTGTTTTGGAAGTCTTCCTCGTCAAACATGTTTATTCTTGGACTTGATGCCAATTGCGAATCTGTTAATTCTATAATTTATGCGGGTTATGGGGTATGGACCCTTCATATTCTGGCTATTCATACTCGGTGTATTATCAGGGTCTGGGTTTGGTCTCTGCATGCTTAATCATGTTTGTTAATACTTGAAGATTATCTGGATTACTAGGCATCTAAAAGTTCTTTGCAGTTTTCCATTTAAACATTTTCTAAGCATAAGGCCCTTTGGAGTAGTATTTTATTACAATATCACTATTGAATCAATTTAGCATCACATTGAATTTTTTTAAAAGTTCTTTTCCATGTTAATTTGTTAAAGGACTTGATAATGAATATTTGAAAATTTTTTCTTACTTTTCTCCATACATAAATTCTGGAAAATTTTGAAAAACGAAGAAATGCTGTCCTTCCAATGCGTGCGCAAAGAAGTTGTCGATAATCATAGTAAATTTTATTTGTGGTCCAAGGCCATTTATTCGAGGATATATGAGCACACACCTCTGATCAATAGCGAAGCAGGTGGAAGATGAATTCATGTCAACTGCGTTTTTTTTTTTGAAGAAATCGATTGGTACTATGAGTTTTCAACTTACTGGGGAGGAGGGGAAGGTGGTTTCGATATTTCTACTTGAATGGGACAATCCTTCCTTTATGCACCGTATGCATGTATTGAAAGGCCTATACATCATCAGTGTGGCCGTCTCCTTTGCGCACTTGTTATGTTTTCTGTGGCCCCTCAGTAATTTAGTTCCGTTAGACACTTCACAATTTGAATTTCATTATGATGGAATATTATTGATATTTGATATGATAGAACTCTAATTGATTATTATCTATCTTTTTCTTTCTTGCTGATCTCAGTATATTACCTGACATAAATTTATTATTTGCAGGCGTTCAGTGCTGGAAAAGAAGTTAGCATCTTCTCATGTACCAGAAGAAGAACAGATGCATCAACTGAAAGATTTAGAGCGCAAGGAGACTGAGTATATACGGTTAAAACGACACAAAATATGTGTCAGTGATTTAAACCTTCTTGATATTATTGGGAGGGGAGCCTTGGAGAGGTACAAATGTGTTCAATGAGATTAAGTCATTAGTGGCCTCTTTTTGTTCCTTAATTTGGTGCCATTAGAGCATATTTTTTTGAAGTCTGTTGGAAATCTGGGACCGCAATTCCCAATTTTATTTTTAACATGGGAGAATAATCAGTTCTTCTGGTTAAACTAACTATTTCCAATAATTTCCCGGCTAATCTTGAAACAACGGAGCTTGCCGGGAGTAAACTTTTTGATATGAACTAAGATTTCAACGGGAAAAAAAAATTGGAAGAAAAAACTGTAAGAGGAAAACTAGAGGAACATCTGCTTTCAAAGTTTCACTAACTTCCATGAATCTAAATCAGAATTTCCGTTCGTTCCTAATAGCATGTTTTTTTGTACATGGCAACTATGCACATGGTTGCCCATTGGTCATTTATTTTGCCTCGATTTGCCCTCTACATTCTCAAAGACAAGTGAATTCCGATCTTGCAGCGCAATTTCACAATTAAAAAAAAATTCTTCTTTAAGAACAGAAATTATTTAGTCTGGAAAACCTGAAAGCCATTGAATTGATAGTTGCAACATGATGATGATGTCCTGTGGAAACTGTGATGCTGGGGATATTCTTTTGCCAAAGCATAGGCATACGGCTACTAAATTCAGGATGTTAGGTATCTGTAGGTTTCCTTTCATTGGTGGCTATCATCATCATCCTAAATGTGCATAAGGTGTCTGGCCCAATGATGGTCAAGCTGCATGGGAAGTATTTAAGGTTCTCATTACATAATCATCTGTAAGATTGAAGTTTTCTTGTTTGCTGGAAATTGTAGAGGCATCATCAACGGGACAGTGATAAATGTTGATGCTGCAATTTAATTGTTATTATCAGATAAGAAGTCTTAAGGGAGAGAGTATCAGAGTTGAAAGCATGAAGGAGGGGACCTCCTCCTCTCACTTTTGATTGATATGGGAGAATTTATGTTTCCATTGTAGCTCAGAAGACCTTGTTAGAATAAGGTCATGGTTTGGTGGTTGCTGAAAAGATCTGTTGATAAATGAAAGCTAGTCATTCTAAGCAATACTTCAGATTTCTAAATGTTTTACCCTATGCATCAACTGATATAACAGATTATTGACGCTAAATTCTTAACAGGTTTCTGTTTATAATTACCTCTAAAGAATCTTGCCTAGTTTAACTACTGATTGTGCTTGAACCAGAAAATACCTTTCTTGTAGTTTCTTCCTTCCTTAATCCTGTGTCATCCCATTACCATATTTACCATTCTTAATCTATCTCTTTCTTCTTTCTTCTAAGTTATTATTGCTTCAGTGTATGTTGGTTAAATATGCAGGTCACGCGTGATCCTCAGATCCTGCTGTGAATTTTACAAGCCATTTACTTTTTTTTCTATGACTGTACCATGAGATTGATTCAATGCTTTTAAAATACGATTACACAGGTAAGACTTTGTCGTGAGAAGAAATCAGGCAATATTTTATGCCATGAAAAAGTGAGAAAGCTGAGGCTCAGTAGGGGGCAGGTAAGTATCATTATAATTAAGTTGTACGAAGTCCCGTTCTTTCCATTCTTAAATTATGTCACTCATAAAAGAAGAGTTCTTTCAGCTCTTATGTTTAAGTTTCATCATATGCTGCAAATTGTTTGTTTTTGTAATCTTTGCTGGCTACATTTGCAATACAGGTTGAACATGTCAGAGCTGAGCGGAATTATTAGCAGAAGTTGCGAGTCATTGCCTTGTGAAACTCTATTACTCCTTTCAGGTGATGATTATTTATATCTGATAATGGAATATTTACCGGGTGGTGATTTA